GTTTTATTTTTCTTCACTCGGGAACAATTTCCTGAAATTGCTTTCAGTCAGTGAAACATTGCAGTCAAACCCATCTGCATATTTTCGAAGAGAAAAAATTGCTTTCTTCCACCTTGCATCTTCCCTGGCTGCTAACTTAACTGTATCCTCACCCATTTCATCCCTTTTACTTGCTTCCTCCCTTTCTCCCATAACAAATGTGAATTTCCTGTCTTTTTTTTTTTCACCCTGCCTAACGAGTTATCTGATCCGTGCTCTCTCAGTCCTGACCTCTCCTTCCTCCAGCTGACCTCCTGATATCCATTTATCTCCTACTCCCCAAACCCACCTTTTCCCATTTTCTTTCCCATAGCCACAGATTGCGGAGCAGCCCCAGGGAGGGATCTGCTGGGTGTTACAGGAATAAGAGCAGGGAAAGAGGGATAAATCCAAACCCAAGGTGTACAGGGCTGGAAAAGAGCCTTGTGGCAAAATTCCCTGGGCAGCCTGAACTGAAACTCTGAATCCTGCATCCTTCCATTGGAGGTGTGGAGTCAGCGTTGTTCATTAAAGCCCAAGGATGTGGATTTGAATTAACGAGGTCCCTTCATGACACTCATTAACCTTGCCCAGTGTTAGGTGCTGGGAATGGGACTCTGCCCTCCAGGTTGCTCTCACCCTGGTGAGATGGAATTAAGCCTTTCCAGGCTGCCCAGCTGCTCCTCACAGCAAACATCTGAAGGTGGCTGGGAGCCAGCCCGGGCTGGGACGGAGCTGTGGCATTCCCATGGCCGGTATCGGATCACGTACGGCGAGCAGGGATCGCTAATGAAAGCCAGGGCTCCTCCGAGGGCAGCGCTGCAAACCAGCAGGACACAAGAAAGGGAGATAAATATTCCCTTCCCCCCTCCACAACTCTTCTGTTCACAGCTTGCTGCCTCCCTCCTTGCCATAAAACAGCAGAGCAGTGGGACATGTGAGCTCTTCTCCCTGGGATCCAGTGGCAGGACACATGGGAATGGTTCAAAGCTATGCCCGGGAGGTTTGGACAGGATGTTGGGAAGCATTTATTTACTGAAAGGGTGGCCAAACACTGGAACAGGCTTCCTGAAGAGGTGGTCCATGCCCCAGGCCTATCAGTGTTTGAGAAGCATTTGGACAATGCTTTAAATTTGATCCCTCCCAAATTGGTCAGACAGTTGGACCAGATGATCGTTCAAGGTCCCTTCCAAATGAAATCTTCTCTCCTCTCCTCTCCTCTCCTCTCCTCTCCTCTCCTCTCCTCTCCTCTCCTCTCCTCTCCTCTCCTCTCCTCTCCTCTCCTCTCCTCTCCTCTCCTCTCCTCTCCTCTCCTCTCCTCTCCTCTCCTCTCCTCTCCTCTCCTCTCCTCTCCTCTCCTCTCCTCTCCTCTCCTCTCCTCTCCTCTCCTCTCCTCTCCTCTCCTCTCCTCTCCTCTCCTCTCCTCTCCTCTCCTCTCCTCTCCTCTCCTCTCCTCTCCTCTCCTCTCCTCTCCTCTCCTCTCCTCTCCTCTCCTCTCCTCTCCTCTCCTCTCCTCTCCTCTCCTCTCCTCTCCTCTCCTCTCCTCTCCTCTCCTCTCCTCTCCTCTCCTCTCCTCTCCTCTCCTCTCCTCTCCTCTCCAGGTTAAATCTCCAAAGGCACAGTTTTTACTCTGGTGTTTCCCAATCCAAATTCCTGTTAAACCCAAAAATACCCCCAGCACTTGGCTGCTCAACGAGCACAGCTCCTCACCCTCCTGGAGCCACAGGCAGAACCTCAGTGGCTTTTACCCACTGTCTTGGACCTTCCCAGTGGGATTGCCCTAAACTGGGAGCACCAGCCCTGCAGACACGAAGCAGCACATGGGGGTTTTGTGGTGTGGGGGATTTTGTGGTCTTGGGGTTCCCCAAAGCACGGGACATCTCCAGGGTGGGGAGGTGGCAGGGTCATGTGTGCCACCACCCTCCCAGGCAGGAAAGCTCTGGTTAAACTCTGTGACACCAGAGAGGAACCAACAGGTGGCCTGAGGGAAATGATGGTCACTGAGAAGAGTTTCAGTTTTGTCTGAATTTTTCATGGAAAAATTCCCCCTTTTCAGAGAAAAGCTACTTGCCCATTTGTTATGGGGAAATACAACTGTTTACATATACATAAACTATTATACAAAATGTAAACACTTTTCTGTGTGTATATGCACATCCATATATGTATTCATCTCCATGGACATATTTTGATTTGAGTCAGTCTTTATTTCAGCATCAAGTGTTTCCAAATTATAGTGAGTTTATTTGCAGAAGAAGGATATATTTAAAATCCCTGTAATGAAAACCCAATCTTGAAAAGAAATTGCTTTTAAAAGAAAAGCTTCAGCCACTGCTGCTGATCAGCATTGATAAACCATCCTCAGAGGAGCATTCACTGTTCACGGGGATGGGGTGCCAGGAAACACTTGCAGGGGGACCAGAGGCTTTGCATGTACCAGTTAGCAAAATGGAATAAATGGGACAGGAAAAGGACTTTTTTTGTTTTAATAAATGTGTCTGTGCTAGAGCTTTTGCTTATGGTGGGGAAACTTTGCTGCTCTATCTCCCTGTAAATCATCACCTGGCACAGCTCCAGTGAGAATCTCTGCTGAACCACCCATCAACAGGTGACTCAGGTGTGTCCTGGCCTGACCTCTTTATTTAAGTAGGCTGCATTTCTCCTGGTTTTCTGGAGCTCCCCAGATCCTGCCTGGATGGGTTTCCTGCTGCTGTGCCCCAGAAATGTGGCTCTGTGGTGCAGATGTGCTGGCCAGCCCTTGTGGACACTGAGTTTGTTGTTCCTCTCTCCTGAGGTCATCCTGCTGCAGGATTTTCCAAGTGCATGTACTTTGCAGGAGCTGAAAGCAAGGAATTAACAGATGGAGAGGCAAAACAACACAAGATCAGCAGCACTTCCCTGCCTGAGTTGGGTTTTTCCTTACACTCTGCTGACTCTATTAATATAACCCCCAAAAAATGCCCTGTATCTTTCTACTTCTACACCAGGTTTCTCTTCTAAACCCCTCACTGCTCCCATCTCCTCTAAGGAAGCTTTCTTTTCTGTGCAGGTTCTTCAATTCAAAGGATTCCTGTGTTACACAAAAAAATCCTGCCTCTTTGTTCTTCCTTCTACACAAGTTTCCTTTTAAGTGGCTGGAGAGACCTTGATTTCTCTAAGTGCCAGAACCCTTTGTCAGGTTGGCTCTCTGATCAGGCTCCTTGGTGGAGCTAAATCCCTTGCCAAGCTTTCCCACATTTAGCCAACAGCCCCTTTGAGCTGAGTCTTGAAAAACTGGCTTGTCCTCAGCAGCAGCTCCCTCTTTGTCCAACTGAGCTCCATTTGAATGTGTAATCATCAAAGTTTAATGAGGCTCTTTTGTGAGCCTTATACCAGGTGGAAGCATTTTTAGATTTTTTTTTTTCTTCTCTTGTGGTTTTTGGCTCAAAAATCTGTAGGCAAGAAGAGAAGAGAGCAAAGAGCTCCATACCCAAAGCAGAGTTTTCTGCTTGATACCTGCCTAAAATTCTTGCAGGAAAAATGCACCAATAATTCAGTCAAAAAGTGCAAGGAAATATAGGGAGGATGGGTCAGCACCCACCACCTGGGAGTTGTTTGGACCTTGAGAAGGACGTGGAGAGAGACAGCAACAAACTGTTGAACTGAGGTTGAGAAAGTTCTTGGCTCATTTGGAGTTAAGAGTTCCCAGCTAGGTCTTATGAGAGGTAGTTTAAAGAGCTGAGATTATTTAGCCTGGAGAAAAGGAGGCTCAGGGAAGACATTATTGCTCACTAAAACTAAAAGGAGGTTGCAGAGAGGTGGGAGTCAGTCCTTCCACCCAGGTAACAAGTGATAAGACCAGAGGAAATGGCCTCAAGTTGTGCTAGGTGTGATTTAGATTGGCTATTTGGGAAAAATTCTTTACTGAAAGGGTTGTCAGGCATAGGAAAAGACTGCCCAGGGCACTGGTGGAGTCATTGTCCCTGGAGGTGTTCAAAAGACGTGGATGTGCCACTTGTGGACGTGGTTTAGTGGTGAGCATGGTGGTGGTGCTGGGTCAACAGCTGGACTCAATGATCCTACAGGTCTTTTCCAACCTTAATAATCCTGTGATTCATCTTTACAAACTCTGCCTCCAGTCCAACTCTCAGCTGCTGCATTTGTGCTCTATTTCTGACCCTGCCAGGAGCAGAAGAGTCTTAATTATGAGTCCATGACCAGAGAGAAGGAGCTTTTCAATTCATTGTTTATCTACCTTGGAATAAACTCAACCAATCCTCTCCTGGAGCTCCACAAATGTGAAAAAAAAAAAAAATCACTTTAATGAAACACTTCCTGCCTTTTCAGCTATCTGGTGCCTCTTGTATGTCTGCTCTGATAATTAGATCACAATTTAATCATGAATTCTCTGTTGCTTCAGGGTTGACCTCTGCAGGTATAGGAGATTTCTCCAGTTGAGCCTCTAGCCCAGGAATCAGGGATGGGGGTGGAGACTGATAGCTGTGTCACAAAGATAAGTTAATTGCTCAGAAAAGGTGAGTTCTGGGCTGACACATGGTTTTAATATGCATTTCATCTGGGCAGGTGACTTCTCTGAAGATTTTCTAAGATTTTTCCATCTCCAACCCCTCTGGACCTCACCTGCCCCTAGGGTGAAGTTCACAGCTCTCCAGTGAACTTCCTCCTGAATGGACTCACTTCTCCCCATGGTGCCAGAGGAGTGGTAGAGCTTGCAAAAAGGGCTCAGGCTGAAGTGGATCTCCAGCAGTTGAGCTGTCAGCAGCTGCTTTGTGGCTGGGGCTGCAGAAAGCACAGGCTGGGAACACCAGGACCCAAAGGGGCACCCAGGCTTTAACTCAACTCAGTCTTGAAGACTGAGACAGAGTAGGAGGAAAATTAACCAGAAGTGAGGCAGGAAAGCCACAACACAACATGCTAAATTCTTGGAAATCAGGTCTTAAAACCAGGTATTATTTCCTCATTTTGATTTTTTTTTTTTTTTAGGTGAGAATTGAGAAGAAAATAACGAAACCAGGTCCTGTTTCAGCAAAAGGTTTGAACTTGTTTGATGGCAGGGAAATGTCTTCAGCAGACCAGCAGCAGCAGCCTGGGGCTGTGGTCTAACAAAGCCTCCCCAGGTATGTCTGGAGAAAAAAAATGAAAGAAAAAAAGAGATAATCTGTCTGCATTCGATATAGCTTGTTTACATCTGCCTGGTAAGAAATGCTGTGACAGATCATTCTGCTGGCAGGAATGGCTGTGCAGGCCGACTCCTCCACCTACAAATTCAGCTGCCTGTGGCTTTCAGGTGCTCAGTTTCCAGGTAATGAGGCACTCAGGCTGTCCCCTGGGTTGAACCAGAAGCCATTTTCATGGTGCTCCTGCTGAGGACATCTCGAGTGGGGTTGATGTGAGCATGAGTGTGAGTCAGAGACTGCTGCTTCCCACACATCCATCCCCTGTGCCACCTCACCGTGGCCAAACTTTTAGCACTGTTCTTGGTTTCTTTATCACACTGCTCTGTCCAGCCTTCCCAGCTAGTTTAGGAATCCCCAGGCAATGGGACATAAAGCAGGGTCTACATCCAAACCCATCACACAGCCATAAATACAGCTGGCAGGAGACTCAGCCCCAGGGATTGTCTTGGTGCTCTCTCTCTGACCTGAGATGGCAGCTTGACCCCTGCAATAGCTCTTTCCATGTTCTCCAGCATAATGGGGGCCCCCCTAAATTTAACAAACCCTCTTTGTGAGCCTTATGCCAGGCATGAGGGTGACCCTATCCTTCTTTGGGGGGTGAGGACAGGAATCAGATAAAGAAAATGGCCTCAGAACCAAAACTGTTTTCTCTGTGATACCAATATTGCAACACTGTCAGTGCCACCATGAGACAAATTATAATCTTATTCTCACAGGGAGAGGGGAATCTATCGATTAGGGTCACCATCTCACTGTCTCCCATGCTCCATGGATCACTCCCAGTCACATCAGATCAATTTAAAAGGACTTCTGTGCAGCTTTTGGAGGTGTCAGGATGAAAAACCTGGATGCTATTTTTATCTGATTATCGTCCAAACAAAGTCAACGTGACAGCCTTCAGAATTAACAGGGCTTTAAAACCAGTTTGGCTGCTTTATTGCCACCACCTGAGTGAATGAAACACCTGGATGGAGAAGGCAGGTCCCAACAGACCAGAGGCAGACTTTTGGCAGTGATATTGAGGGCATCTCTCAGCGGTGGGGTGGTTAAAACTCAGGGGCATTTCCAGAGAAAGTGTTTTAATTGCTGAACATTGGTTAGCAGCTCCTGCCTCGATGGATGCCCTGATGTCTCCACTTTCCCTCAGCGCTGCTATTTCCAGCTTTCAGCCAAACAGCACTTCACATTTAGCTAATTACTCCGAGAGAGCAGCAGGGTTTCTAGGGCTGCAGGTTTCACACAGTTTCTATTAATATCCCCCAGGGCTCCCAGGTTTGTGCTTCTTTGGGATAACACTGATCTCTCTTTGCCAGGACCACTCAGGTCTTGTGCATCCACTCACTCCCAACCACTTAACATGGCAGCTAGCTAATAATTTCCCTTATCACACAGCCCTCCTGATAAAGCTGCTCTGCAAGAGTGATGAGGGCTGGTGCCTGGCTCCTCAGACCTGCCCTGGCTCCAGTGGAAGCTGGAGGCTCCTGGCAGGAGAGGAGCAGATGCCTTGGGCTGGAGCTGTGTGGGGCTTGCTGCTGTCTCTCCCCTCGCTGTGATTCTTATCTTGCTGTCCCCCAAAAAACCCACTGCCTTGAGTTAATAGCACAGCTTTAGAGGGCATGAGGAGGGGCAGGTGCCTAAAACCAGCTCCCTGCCTGGCAGCCTCTTGTGTGGGTGCTCAGGGAAAAGCAGGGAGGATAAACACCTTTTGCTCCCAGAGTGGAGGGATATGAGCACTGACATAGGAGAGCTCAAGATATACAACATTTTAGAACCCAGAGGCAGCTCTAAACCCCCTTGTGCATTTGCAGCCCCCTCCTGCCTGCACGCAGCCGTGGCTGCAGTGAGGATTCAGATGGGCCACATTCATTCTGGTTTAAAAAGCTCATCTGGCTTTGCCTTAAATTTATGGGGATCACAGTGAATCAAAGAGCGCACGGCTGGGAGTTTAAGAAGTGTTTTGTTCCTCTGAATTACATGAATCCTAAAGGATCTCTGGCATCAAAAGCACCCATTAACCCCAGCAACTTTGTTATTATCATAAGGGACTTGTTTTTACTCCCTGTTGCACTTCCCAAAGCTTAAAGTCAACAGAGACAGGTCTGTTGACTCCGCTGCACTTTATTAGCCTGATAGCAGAACCCGTGACCATTCTCTTTGGAGTGATTACAGAAAACTTGAGATAGAGGGAGAAAATTTAGAACAAGACAAGCACAAGTAAGTACATGTAAAAATGTGAAAAAATCTGCATCAGTCCACGAATACCCACAGTAGTCCTTGTGCTCTGGCAGTCGCAGCTTCTTTTTTGTAAAGAAGTTTTCTTTCCCACTTTCTTGAATGATTAACATGAATAACTCACTAGTGAGAGCTGGAGAAACAAGGTAGCAAAAAAGTACTGTGCTATCCCACACAGATAGAGAAGGGAAAAGGCAATAGTTATAATCCCCTAATTACTTATAGCTCCAGTCACTGGCTGCTCAACATCTTTAAACCAGTGGCAATCCTGCAACTCAGAGCAAGACTAAAAAAAAAAAAAACCAAAAAAAAAAAGAAAAAACCAAAACAAAACAACCCCAACATTGTGTTAGTGTAAACTAAAGAGTAGCAAGCAATAAAAGGCTGTTTTGGGGATGGCTGGCATGGAGGTTGCAGGCGACAGCTGGTGGGTGTCTGCTGGGGCTGCCCTTTCTAGCTGCCATCTGGACTTTGCATAGGACAGGCGAGAATAAGCTACTTATACCTTAATAAGGAAAAAGCCTGTAAAAATGGGATGGGGGGTGGTGGTTTGGCTGCGAGATCACTTTGTAAATAAACAGGAACGCGAGCTTGGACTTTGCTGCTCTGCCCAGGCTGAGGCAGGGACAGCAGCTGGATACTGAAAGCACCTAGATAGAAGCTGCAGGGATGAATATACACTCTGTCCCTGATGCAGTAGTGTGTGTGTGAAATCTGTTTAACAAATTAATTTGGTCGTTGTGATCGCTCTTTAATCGCAGGAACACCGATGCACCGAAGGGGCTGATCTTCCACCCAGACAAATAAAAGGCAGAACTGTTGCAGTCCATTGGACACGGGTGGATGGTTCCAGGGTTGCAAAGTTAGAAGGAAATGCTGCAGGAGGGAAACACTGGACCAACATGCACTTGACGGGTGTGTGGACTGCTGTCAGCACACAGAGATGCCTGTTTACTCTCCCTTTGGGAGGAGAGTTGCATTAGGGTGGACCAAATTTACCCCCTTTACTTCAAAAAGAGTAATTTTACTTTGCCTAGCATTTTTGCACAGCCACTTGACACTGCAAAAGTAATGTAAATTAGATATAAATGGGGAGTAAATTCACTTAAACACCAGTTTCCCCTCAGGAAGGGTCCAAAAGATCAATGACCTGTTGATTCCAACCCTTGGTTCACCTTGGCTTGAAGATGCCCAGAGTGATGTTATCATAGCAGCAATGTGGAGAGCTGTCAGCCTAAAATAAAAGGTTTTGGCAGGATCAGCTCTGCCCATTCTGCCTGCAGATGTTTTGCCTTGACCCTCTGCCCCACCAGCCCTGGGGGAACCTGGTCCTGGCACTGGTGCCCAAACTGGTGGTGGGTTGGGTCCAACCCCAAGCAGCTGAGCTGTGGGGGCAGTCACTTTCCTGACAGCAGAGATGGAAGCTGCCACAGCTCTTCCTGCCAAAGCTCATCTGTCATAGCTTTAATTTGCTCTCTGCATCCCAGATCTGCTCCCTTCCCCTCCCTGCAGCTGGCCAAGAGGAGACAAGGCTTGTCGCCCTGCTGTGTTGGCACAGCCCCCACCTATGGCAGCCCCATTCCCGTGGGAATCCCCGGCTGAGGAAGGGCAGGTGCTTTCCAGTCCTTGCAGCATGGCCTTTCTGGGAGCCTGGATGCACGAGATGCCTCTCCTTCAACCTCCTCCATCTCATCCTGTGCCATTTGCTCTGGGGAGCACGACATGGAAGACTGTTTCCCTGTTTTACACCAATGCAACCCTTTGTCTTCTCCAGTTTTGGCAGTTTTGCCCCCAAAACCCTTCTCCATGCTGGCCTTCCCATGCTGCCCTGTTGCATTTAACTGGCATCATCATTAAGGTGTGGAAAAAGCAACACCAGCAAAACTTTTGCTCCCTCAAGCAGTGCTTAAGCCACGTTTCAATCCCTGTCTCAGGCAAGTCTCCTTCATGTCAGCAGCATCCAACATGACCCAGTATCCAAACGCTCTGGGCCATAACTCCAGTAGGGAGCAGATAACCAGAGACATCAGATGCTACTTAGAAAGCATTTTGTTCCCAATTAAAGCCAAAATATGCGCTAAGAGCTGCTGAAGGAAAGTGCAGAGCATCTGATTTCCCTCTTTTGCTAACACACTCGGAAGAAGAGGTGACAGGTTTGTGGAAATGGTTGCAATTTGCAGTCAAACCATGAATAGGAATTGGAAGGAAGGAGACAGACAAGAAACTTACTGCACGGAATTCCTCCAGTGATGCTGGAGCTTATACAAACCAATTAGACCCTCATCAAAGAGAACCCTATCCCTATCACCATACTTTTTATTTCCTAACAGCTAGGTGGTTGTTGTTTTAGTATTTTTTAAAATTTCCTTCTCTTTAATTTTCCAGGGGGAAAATGTACCTGAAGATCCAGGCAATTGCTTCTTTGTGTTCTCACATGATTTTACCATGAGGTAAATTTATGGGTGTCAAATAAGTTGCTCCTTATGCCAATGTCACAGAAATACAAGTGTGTGGGAGGGCTGGTGGCTTCTGCTTAGTGGAGTTGCCAAGGATTGTGCTAATTAGCAATTGGAAAGACTTATATTTTAGAGGTGTGGAGTGATCCAAGGAAGCAAGTTGAGGCTTATCTAAAAACTGGTAAAGGCTGTTCTACATGGACCAACTGCAAAGGGACTTTGGGCTTTTTGAGAGACCTCCAAAAATTTCTCTGGCTCAGGTTTAGGTGTGTGCATGACTCAGCCCTGCCATGAGTGAACTGAGCTTGTAAGAGCTCTGACTGCATCTCCAGCTGCTACCTGACCTTAGGAGTTGGAAGCTAACAGAAACTGATTTATGTTGTTCTCCCTTCACAGCTCTGGACTCCTGCTAGCCCCAGTGGCTGGTGGCCATCTCAGGGCTGGGCTGTCCATCATTTTACCCCTTGGGGTTATCTACAGTGGTGAAAAAAGGAAACAAATGGCAGGTGAATGCAGCAGTGACAGAAAGAGGCTGAGATGGACCTTTGGGTGATGGGAAGGAAGTTTTTCACCCAACTGCTGTGTCTGTGCCAGTGGTCAGTTGATGTGAATAAATTGTATATCCCATGGGTGAGTTGGAGCTTTACCTGCAGCTGAGTTGCCTCATTCTTTCCTACACCTCTGACATAACCAAGAAAGAACTGTTTTGCCCTGCTGTAGCCCCAACAGCATCCCATGAGGGTCTCTAAGATGCGGCATGTTGGGGAACCTTCTCCTTTGTAAAGGCTGGAGATGGCAGAAGGAGTTGCTTGTTGCTCTGCATCACTGTGACATCACTCCCTGCAGTGCCCACATATCCAGAGCTGGAATTGCTGGGCTATAGCAGCTCTGGCTGCTTGGCATCTAAATAAACCCATCCCAGGGCCCACAGCACTGGAGTAGGTGTTTCTCTTTAGGGAGAGCAGCTATTCCAGGGTCCAGCAGCTCCAGCACGAGGGAAGCCTCTGGCCACGCTCATTGTCTGATGTGCAGTGCCTCATGTTGGGGGGAAAGCTGGAGAGCAGCTGAAATGACAGAGCCTGAGGGAACAGAGAACATCATCCAGCACGTCCCCAGCTGCCAGAGCCATGGGAAAGGCCCTTTTCCAGAGGAATAGCATGCTGATCTCAGCTCAGGGAGCTCTTCTGAGCTGAACAGGAGCCTGCAGCCCACAGCAAACCAGCAGCAGATTTGAGGTGAGAGGGTGTGCATGGAAAGTGATGGGGGCAGAAAGTGCAGGTTGGGAACAGCTCCATCATCACAACTGAATCCAGAAGGAGATGCATGTTGACAGCCTCAGTGTCTAGCTTTCGACAACTGATTTGGCAAATTTGGGCCTGTGCAAATAACTAAGAGCAGATGTGTCAAATGGTTTTTATTTCCCAGAATTAACACTAGATACAAGAGTACTAAAGGAAGTGGCCTGCACATCCCTGCTGTGGGAGTCCCCTGACCCTCTCATACCTTCTCTTTACTGTTCCCTGACCAGATACAGCTTTCACTTGCACTTGAATAAATGAGATTGGCTGCAGCCACAGCAGATATCAACCAGCACACAGGAGTGCCAAGGAGGACCAGCTCTTTTCACCCAATTTGCTGTGTACACGCAGATAATGAATTTGCTTGTTACTTGTTTTTAACTTCCTTAAAACAAGTTTTAGCCACAAGTCCTTCCAACATGGGGGGATCACCCTGCGACACCACGTCTCCCCTGATTTCCTCTGGAACAGAAATGCTTTTGAGATCCCGTTTATAGCTCTGTTCACACCAAATGTGACAGTTTTAGCTATATTGGAAGACCAGCCTGACCCTGGCAGCCGCTCACACTGTGATCAGAATAGTTATCAGTCAGACCCTGGTGTGTGATGTCTGGTGGCAGTGAGGATGAATCTGCTCTTGCAATGATGTGATCCATGCAGGGAGAAGCAGCGAAGCACAGCCCCACAGAAACAGACAGGTGGAGGAGGAATTGTCTCCAAGTCAGGCACAAGTCTGAGCTAGCCATTCTGGACTCCCCGTATGGTCCACAGGGAAAAACAGGTTCTTTCAGGGAGTGACTCATCTTGTACTAAAATAGGTCAGAGGAACTGCTCTCCACAGCATCTGACTCCTCTCCACAGGCTGTAAGGGAAACCCAAGGGGGACTAGTTCAGATTCAAGAAACTTATTTTCACTTGTTGGTGTGAGTTGCAGCCAGGCTGTACAAACTCTTCTGCAGTCAGTGGAAGTCGTGTCAAAGGGCTTTGGAGCTGACACTCCACGGTCTGAGTCAGACTCTGCATTTCCCAGAAAATCCCTGGACTTAAAGAGCTGCTCAGGGCTGAGCTAGAAGGAAAACATGCACCTTAACCCCGTGTTCTAGAAAACAACAACAAGCAGCACATTCAAGCAGGGGAATTCTGTCTTTTATTTTAAAAACTTGAGCAGCAGAAGACGCTGCAGAGTTCGGCGTGGCATCTTTTTCCCCCCGTTATCTCTCCAGTGAAAACGAGGCCACACTTTTCCCTGTCACGATTCCTGGGACTCTCATCATCTTTCATCCCGATGCATCCTCCTTCCTCCCTTGAGCTGAAGTATGTTGAAGTCAATGAAAATCGACGATGCTCGTAAGACACGCCAGAATCTCTTGCTGGGAGAAGGGCACCAGATTTCTTGCTAACTCCTCCCTTCACCCTCTCTCAGCAGGAGCCGATGACAGGATTATTTTTTATCAAGATGCAGATACTACACACAACCAGCACAAAAGATCAGTGATTAGTCTTTGCATAAGCAGCCAAGTTTGCTTTTTCCTGACCTTATCAATCTGGTATTTGAATTTCTAGGGAGTTTTAGTGAGTGGGTTTTCTCGGGAAGCTGAAATCCTTCCTTTTAACCCTCACACAAAATTCCTGCTAACTTCACTGGAATTAGTTTCTCATTCAGGATAAAACCAGATAGCTGTCCATGACTTGTCTGAGTTCAGGAAGGCCTTCAGGTTGGCAGGGATTTCCTTTTCCTTCCTTTGCCCCACATTTCAACACAGCCTATAAAATGAGAACAAGTTATTTCCTGTGTAGTAGAACAGGAACAAAAATATCCAAATGCACGTGGCTGCCTACCTACAAGCTACAAGTCTGAGCTTCCATGGGAGATCCAGGGTGTAATTCTGCTGCTTAAAGGCAGACATCTGGTCCTGTCTGAGATGCCTGAGGGCATCTCAAGTGTGTGCACAGGGCTGGCAGGTACAACACAGGAACTGCAGGAAATTCTTCTAGAAATCCCCACCATTTGGTAATCAAGCTCCAGAGCCCAAATAACCTTCTTTTTTTTTTTTTTTTTTTCAGCTTCAGCAATTGATGGTTCATTTGGGCAACCAAAAGTGCAGTTTAACTGGGCATCTCCTGATAGGTCTTGAGTACCTGGTGATCCTGTGAAACCATAGATTTTCTGCAAGAAGCAAGAGATCTTGCTTTTACATTCTCCTTAAAAGAAATGTTCAAACTTAGCACTGAACTACTCAGACAACAGTTTCTTTAACCTGTGATGGAAAAAGGGAATTTTTTCCTCTTCCTGTGTCCCTCCAGTACTGTTCCACTTACTGAGCAGGATACTTTTAAAAGCAACATCTCCTGGGGCTGGAGAGACAGAAGTCCACAGCCTGCTTTGGGTCTGAACATCTTGGACACTCCTTGCAGCTCCTGTGGGTGGCCTTTTGAACATTAAAAACCCACCAAGTCCACATCTGTCACCCTGCAGGGGTTTGGATGAAGAGCACGGGGCAGTTTGGAAAGCCAGGCCCATGTAAAGTGTTGTGTTGAAAGCCAAACTCCTCCCTGTTGTTCTGACTGGACCTGGACCAGGACTTTTGGCACAGAGAACAACCTTCCACATGCTCACCCCTCTGCTTTCCACCTTCTGACCTGCAGTGCTCCTGACAGCATCCTTCCCCAGGCTGTCACTGCTGCAAAGCTGCAGGTCCTTTCTCTGGCAGAGGCAGACAGAGGAACTAGAGCTGGGATGAGCACTTTTAACAGCATTTGATGTTCTTCTCACCTCCTTTAGCCCTAACTCTGCAAAGCAACAGCAGCACCACAGTAATTCTGACCAGGCTTTGCCCCCTTGTCACTTGGGGAATCCAGATGTTTTGTAGAAGGCAGTGAAAGCATTGTGGGATCCCCAGGGAGGAAATCCCAGCAAGTCTGGGTGAAGCACGTGGATCCCAATCCCTGCTTGCAGGCAGATGAAGATGAGCAGTTGGCTCTCCAGTCTTCTTGAGGGAGAAGCAGCTGCAGCAGGGTAGTGAAGGGAGCCCTGGCACATCGTACAAAGGAGAGCAGAGCGAAGTAAGCATGAAAAAGTCATGCTGTGGATATAGAAAATAGCCAGGGGAGGGTTTGCTTTGCCAGTCAACAGGTCTTGTCTGCACATTCTGCTTTTCTTCAATGTGGAGGAGCTTCCCAGAGAGCCCCTGCCCCTGTCTCCAGTGAGCAAGCAGTTCAATGGAAAGCAGTGCATTTATTTTGAGCTTTGTGCATCAATTAGGCAATGGTGTGGTGGAGGGATGTTCTCAGGAAGAACATTTTTGACAGTTTCCTTAGAAAGATAAGATCTATCCCACTCCAGTAGGGGATAATAGCTAGCACAGAAAACCACAGGGGGATTTTTCCTGCATGTCTTGTTCTTGTGAAAGTTGTCTACTGACACCTTTGGATTTTGGCCAAGAGTCTACCTGAACAACAAGAACCTTCTTCCAAACTGCCTTTCCACCCCAGGCAGGTGTGTTCCCTCCAATCCCCAGGGATGTGGCAGACAGGTATTTCCTGGATCTGGCTGTGATTCCCCCAGTTCCATCGCCTGCCACCTGGAATTCTCCACCCCACCCCTCCAGCTGCTGGTGGGGTCCTGTGACCTCCTTGAGCAGCTTCAGGCAGCACCAGAGCCTTTGCCACAGCTGGGAGGTCTCACACAAAGCACTGAGTGCTCAGCAGACCCATCTACTCCGTGACCTTGGGGAGGGACTGGTAACACCAGGGAAGGGAGGAAAGCAATTGTCTTGCACTGGCACAGCTGCTCGCTCAGGGAACATCTATTCAGACTCAGGAGCAAACAGATGGTTTTCTCCCACTGGCCAATCCATTCTTTCTTTTTCTTCTGACACTGCCCAAAGGGGTCACAGCAAGAATGGTGATTCCCTGTGTCTCTAATACATGTACATTGTCCTCCCTGTCCCACGCAGAGCAGAAGTGACCAAAGTCAGATGGATAACAAAGCTTCTTGACCTATTGGATGAGTAAAAAGTGCAGCTTTCTCTGTCTAGCCTCAGATCTGCTCATGCCATGGCCATTCCTGGCTGTTCCTCTGCAAGGCCGTGTGTTACACTACGACACAAATCACACATGGATTCTGGATGTAAAAGAGGGAAGAAAACTAAAAGAGAGGATTTTATTTTTTGACTCTACTAGATATAGCAACCCAAGAGTGACAGTGGATTGGAGGGTGAAATTGCCACCTCTCCAACCACACTGGTCAAACTAATAATCTATCAATTCTCTCCACCCACAAAAAAGAATATAAAACAATTATTATTTACATAAACAGTGTGAAAAAAAATCAGTATAAATATGTAAATGTCAGAAAGCATAGAAAACTTTTAGAAGAACTTTATAAACTCTCAAAAAACCAAAACAGCAGCCGTGTACAAGGGGAAATGGAAGGCTGGTGACAGAGCCAGGACCTGAATTGTCTT